TATAACTTAATGTTTCTGAGATTCAACCATGATGTGTGGGTTAGTAATTTGTTCCTTTCTATTGCTGAGCAGTGTTCTAGTGTTTGAATATACTATAGTTTGTGTCCTTTCTCCTGTTGATGGATGTTTTGGCTGTTTCTAGTCTTTGTCTACCATAAATAAACATTCTTACATTACTTTTCATTTCTCTTGGGTAAATATGTAGAATTGCTGGATCGTAGGGTAATAGTATTTTTGACTTTTCATATGTTTATTGGCCATTCATGTATGTTCTTCTATGAGGTGTCTATTCAAGTGTTTTGCTCATTTTTTTTAACTGGGTTTTTTTTTTGGGGGGGGGCCTTTTTATTATTGGTTTGTAGATGGTCTTTCTATATTCTGGAAACAAGTACTTCATCAGGTATATATATTGCAATGTTTTCTTCCAGTTTGTGGCTTGTCTATTCTTTTTCATAATGATGTCTTTCAGTGAACAACAGTTTCTAACATTGGTGAAGAATGAGTTCTCAATATTTTTATGATTAATGCCTTTTTTATCCTTTCTAAAATATCTTTCCATATGTCAAGATCATGAAGATATTCTCCTGTGGTTTTGCTTTTTCTGGAAGCTTTATAGTTTTAACTTTTACATTTAGATTTATGATCCATCTCATGTTAGTTTTTTCTGGGGTATATAGCAGAGGTCCACCACTCATCTGTCAGTTTGTCATTCTGTGGTGGCTTGTGTGTTGCTGTGAGGCTGGAAGCTATGCCACCAGTATTTCAAACACCATCAGTGTCCCCCATGGTTTCAGCAGAGCTTCCAGACTAAGACAGACTGGGAAGAACGAGGCCATCCACTTCTGAAAAAATTGTCCATTGAAAACCTTGTAAATAGCAGTGAAACACTGCCTGATTATTCTGGAAAACTTTATGAATAGCCATGAAATTTTGTCAACGATGGGCTCAAACATAACAAGGATTGTGAGGATGGTGCAGGACCGGGCAGTGTTTCGTTCTGTTGTACACAGGGTCGCTATGAGTTGGAGTCAACTAAATGGCACCTAACAACAATAAAAACCATGTAGAGGTGGGAATCCTAATGGTCCAATGGTTGAGAAATTGGCTGCTAACCAAAAGGTAAGTCATTCAAACCCATGAGCAGCTCCACAGGAGAAAAGACCTGAGGATCTACTCCTGTAAAGATTACAGCCTTGGAAATCTGTGGTGGTTATGTTTGTGTTTCAACTTGGCTGGGCCTAGTTGAGTGGTTGGGAAGCTGGTGGTAGTCATTCCCCCATGATAAGACTGGCAATCAACTCCATGGTGGGATCTACCACAAGCAGCTGAGTAGCTGCCTTTGGGATGTGGTCTGCTTCCCGTATATAAGGAGAAGCCTTGGGAATGGTCTCTAGCTTATGGCACACTCGGGCCCTGTATATAACTATGTCGTTGTTCAGCAGCCTGCCATGCTCTGCCAATCTTGGGGCTTACAATGGACTTAAATTAATGGCCTGCCGTGTGGTTTGGTCACATCAGGACTGTGCCTTTTTCTTGTTAACTCAGCCTCAGCAGCCAGCAGCTGTCTGAGTGTAGAAACGCCTCTAGCTCCAGTGGGCTGGGAGCAGGAGGCAGAGCTGAACTCCAAGGTTGAGGGGCTTTCACCCAGCCCCTAGAGCCTGGCACTTTGAACTTGGACTTAAACCCTCCAAACTGTAAGAGAATAAACTCCTGTTTGTTAAGGCCATCCCATTTGTGGTATGTTCTTGTCAGAGCAGCACTAGGTAACCAGAACAAAACCTTATGGGGAATTTCTATTCTTCCTATAAGGTTGCTATGAAGTGGAATTGACTCAAGGGTACACAACAACATAGTAGAGGTGACAGTAAGTAAAATTTTTTCTGTACAGATATCCAGTTATTTCAGCACCATTTGTTAAAAATACTTTTTTTTATGAATTGTATTGATACCTTTGTTATAGATCAATTAAGCAAATATGTGTGGCTCTATGTCTGGACTCTGTTGTGTTTCATTGATCCATTTAACAATCCTTTGCTGAAACTACACTACTTTACTTATTGCAACTTAAAAGTAATTCATGTAATAAGATAGTGGAAGCCCTTCAACTTCACTTTTCTTCTTTAAGATTATCTTTGTTAACGCAGGCCAATTTGGGGCTTAGGTCACAGCAACACAATGACAAGGCTATAAATCTTTACAGAAGTAGATTGCCTCATATTCTTCCGTGGAGCAGCTCGTAGGTTTGAACAGCTGAGCTTCAGGTTAGCAGCCAAATGTCTTACCTACTACGTCAAGAAGGCAGTCATAAAAGAAAACACATAATATGACTTTGTTTAAGGAGTTCTAGTATAGCCAAAACTAATCAATGGTGACAGAATTCAGCATAGAGGTTAATATGGAGTGTGGTAAAGGAGACTTGGTGATGCTGTGGTTAAGTGCTTGGCTGTTAACCAAAAGGTCTGCAGTTAGACCTACCAGTCACTCAGTGGGACATAGTAGCCTGCTCTGTAAAGATTTTCAGCCTTGTAAACCCTACTGGGGAGTTCTACTCTGTCCTAAAGGGTTGCTATGAGTTCAAATTGACTTGACAGTAATATAAATGGCATGGTGTTGACTGGAGAGTGGCCTAGGGACCCTTTTGGGGTGATAGTAATGGACTGTACCTTAAATTGGATAACAGTTCCAAAGCTGTATGAATATGTAAATATTGATGAAATGACACTCTAGATGTGTTTAGTTTGTTGTATATAAATTACTTAAAATATCCAAAGCAAAATGACAAAATGTTAGTATGTATGAATTCTGGGTAGTGGGTACACTGGGTGTACTAATTCTCTATAAAACCAAACCAAACCAGTTACTGTTGAGTTGATTCCAACTCATGAAAAATCCCTGTGTGTAGAATAGAAATGCTCCACACGTTTTCAAGGCTGTGACCTTTTAGAAGCAGATCTGAAACACCAGCAGGGGGTGGGGGTGGGGTTCAAACTCCTAACCTTTTGATTAGTAGTTGAGAATGTAAACATTTACACCACTCAGGGAGTGCTAATTCTCTATATTTCCCTATATATTTTAAAAAGATATATTTATAATTAGGAAAGAGAGCAGAAGTCCTCCATAAACAAAGTGAAACCCATCCCAAAGGAGGTGACAAAGGATTTGAGTGTCACTTGCCTAACTATCTCCCCTTCTCCTCAACCCTCAAGTGGGTTCCTTTACAATGAGGTGCTGGTGAAAGGAAAAAAACAAAAACAAAAACAAAAACAAAAAAAACCTATCACAATGTTCATCTCTCCAGGATGGGGACATGGATCTTTTCATTCAGTCAGTAAACTGGCTGCTAAAAAGTGGGCTGTTTTGTTGGCTCCTTTGAAGATCAGCTTGAATGATTCTTTATCTAAGAGGGGCCCTGAGTCATCACTGGCTGGGCTGGCGACATGCACCATTCTGAGAAAGCTGCTTTTGGAAGACAGCTCCTTGGTCTTAGCTCTCAAAGTGGCTGTGCTCTGTGAGCTCTGCCCATCCTACTGAGGGCGGCAGGCAAGTTGAAGAGAAAGGAGAAGGGAGGCAGAAAAAGAGAAAAAGAATTTAAAAGAGGGTAGGGAGGGGAATGAGAAAAAGAAGAAGAAAACAGAGAAAAAATCAAAGACCCAGGCTCCTTGCTCCAGGCTTCAACAGCCGCCTCCTCCGTCTGCCTGCTCAGTTTTCCACTTCAGACGTTGTCTGGGCGTCACCATGTGGAGGGAGGGAGGGTGTAGTGAAGTCGAAAGTGGCTCTAAAACCAGGTCGACCAGCCTTTCCATCACTGAGAGACTGGTAAGAGACGTAAGGTCTCTCTGCTCCTCAGTTTCCTCACCCTCTGAGGCCAGCCTGTGGGTCAGAGAACCTTGTGGCGCTAATAGAACTTTCAGCCATGATGGCTACGGAGCACTTGAAACGTGGCTAGTGCCACTGAGGGACTGAATTTTTACTTTTAAAATTGTATTCAAGTTTGACTGCTTTAAATTTAAATAATCACGTGTGGTTAGTGGCTTGGGCGTTCGTCTGGCTCCGCGGAGGGCAGTTATTCGTGGCCACGACTGGTCCCCCTCGCCAGGCCTCTGGGCAGTGTGGACACTGCGAGGCTCGAGTTCAACGCGCTGCGTCTGCACACCAATTTCTTCCACTAATAAACTGGTCCGAAGTGAGGCCAGAACTAGTAGGAACGCCCAGGACTGTAGTTTAGGCTCCTGCGCTCGGGATGGAAGCACATAAGATTCCCAAACTCCTGGATTCCATCGAATGTTCTCCCTCTACCCCTGCGCCCCATCCTGTCTACTCGTCCGTCCACAATCCTCTAAGTCTGGGGAAAATGGGGTGGACACGCACAGAAAACACCAACGGGAGTCCCTCAGCGTCTCTGACCCCCGGCTGGGCCTTCCACAGCGCCAGCTCCTTTATTTCTCCCAGTAACTTCAGGAGGCTCAGCATTTGCACGTCCACTTCACAGATGAAAAAAAAAAAAAAAAAAAGCCGTCCGCGGTACTTCAGCGGGATCAGAACCGTAAACTCTTAGGCTGGAGCTCTGGTGGCGCCAAACCGCGGTCGAGACACTTTTGTGGGTCGGGTTGCTAGGGCGCGGGGGCAAAGCGGCGGGTAAATATTTGGGGCTGTAACCTGGGCTCGTCACTGCGGTTCCCCAGCGGGCGCGTGGCGGGGGCGGTGCCTCGGGGACAGGGGCGTCCCCGCCGCGCGCGGCCCCGCCCGGCCCCGCCTCCGTCCCCGCCCCCGCCCGCGGCGCCGCAGCTATAAGACTTTTGGGCTGGCGGGTGGCGGGCTGGCGAAGGAGCTGTGCGCAGACAGAGCTGTGGACAGCGTGGGGTTGTAGGACGCGAAAGCAGTGGAACGCGAGAGGGGCTGAGCGATTCCGTTAGCAGCACTGCTTTAGCCCGAGCAGCGGTCCCGTCCCGGGCCGGCATCTCGCAGGACCATCAGCCAAGCGCGCGGGGCCGAGCTGCCCCATGAAGCCGCCCGCCGCACAGGGCAGCCCAGCGGCCGCCGCAGCCGCAGGTGAGTACAAGCGCCTGAGGTCTTTTTTTAAAGCCCCGCTCCACAGGTGAGGATGTCTTCCCTTTTCCCTTCAGATTCTCTCCACTGGGACTCTGAATCCGCGTCGCTCCGCGCTATCGAGTTCAATCTCCCCTCCCATACCTCCTAGAGGGGATCCTCACCATTGTCCCCACTTCGGGCTGGGGGCCTCACCCCGACACGCAACGGGTGCACCCTGACTCAGTCTGCCCAGCGCCGCGTGTTCGCGTGCACCCCCGGGGAAATGAGCGTGGGGACAGGTACCCGACATGTGGAAAAACGCGTGGGAAGGCATTTGGCAGTGTTAACTGGGTGACATTTGGTGGGCTTCTTCACTGGGCTCAGTTTTCTGTAAAATGGGTATGATAGTAGGAGTCATTTCAGGTAGTGGTTGAAGTGAAAAGATAAAGGCGGCTACAGCGTGGCTGTTTCCTGGCCAAAGCACAGTGAACGTTAGTTATCTCGGAGAACGGTAACGGCCCCCTCCTCACCTGACCCCACTGCTCCTGTCCCCAGCCCCGGCCTTGGACTCGGCTGCAGCTGCAGACCTGACAGACGCGTTGTGCGAGTTCGACGCGGTGCTGGCTGACTTCGCATCGCCCTTCCACGAACGCCACTTCCACTACGAAGAGCATCTGGAGCGCATGAAGCGGCGCAGTAGCGCCAGCGTCAGTGACAGCAGCGGCTTCAGCGACTCTGAGAGTAAGTGGTGCTCTGTCCTGGTAGTGATCGGATTCCCAGCCCACTCAGGAGCCCTTAGGGCTCAGGCCTCAGTTTGCTTATTGTAGAACGAAGGGTGGGGCCCAGCGGGGTAAGCCCCAAGGCTCAGTGCAGTCACCAGGACTTAAGTATACAGGATTATAAATCCAGCCCTGGCAAGACCCTGAGGGTAGTCAAGGGAAGGCTATTGGAAGGTAAGTTGGTCAACCTGCTGCCTGCAGGTGTCTGGCATAAGGATTTAAGCAGCTAGACTCCAACTAGACAGGACTCTTGGGGACAGAAGCCAGGCCTTCCACAGTCTCCTTTTGTCTCCTCCTCTCCTCTCAGCTTTTCAGCAATAATTTATCAGAGGATGTGGAGTAAGTGCCACAGGAATTGGGGGGTGGGTAGGGGAAGAGGGAGGGAAGCTGTGGGAGGGCACAATACCCAGCATTTGTGCAACCAGAAAAGGTTTCATCAACTGCTATTCTTGAGATTTTTGAAGTAACTTCTTGCACTTACTTCTGGCCCTGAGCTCTCAGACTTGCTGCTCCATTGCATAAAATTTTGAAAAGATCCCTAGTGTTGCTGAGTTCAATTATTTCAGAGGGTGTTTTCTTCTCCTTCAGGCAGGTCCACCACAGGGAATGCTGGCTTTGACCCCTGCCCAGGCTGGAGGGGGGGAGCCTGAGAGCAGATAGGTGAAGGGACGGGGTGGCCTCCTGGTGACCTTTCTCATAATCAAGTCTACTCTAGGGTCTATGTCCTAAATAACCTTGTAATAAAAGAGATACAATTTTCCAGGAAGTCAAATTTCCTGTAAGGATTATGGATAAATATCTGTTAGGGTGTCAAGCAGCAAATTTAATAATTTTTCAATAGTACATGTTTGTTACTTTACAATTCCTGAAAAATAACTTATATTTTTTAAAAATAATACTTATTTTTAAAAAAATTAATTTATTTTTTAAAAGTTACTCATTTTTGAAAGTGCAGTTTAAGGTCTTCTGAGTTATTCTTGAGAAGCTCTGGTGGTGCAGTGGCTAAGGCATTCAGCTACCAGCCAAAAGGTTAGTGGTTTGAACTCACAGACGCTCCATAGAAGAAAGATGAGGCAGTCTGCTTCCATAAAGATTTACAGCCTTGGAAACGCAGTGGAGGTCACTATGAGTCAGAATTGACTCAATGCCAGGGAGTTTGGTTTGGTTTTGGATTATTCTTGAGACTTTAATCCCTAGATTGGTTCCAAGCATGGATATCCATCTCTGTGCTGTCCTTGACTCTGGAAATATCCCCGGGTGATGCAGATGGTTCATGTGCTGAGTGGTTGGAAGTTCAAGTCCATCCAGAGGCATCTTGGAAGAAAAGTCTGGCAATCTACTTCCAAAAATTCAGCCATTGAAAACTCTATGTAGCATGGTTCTACTCTGAAGATATGGGGTCCCCATGAGTCGTTGTCAGCTTGATGGCGTCTGGTCAACTGGTTCCTTGTGGGTCTCTTCTTTTGAAATTCAGAGCTCTTAAGAAAGAGCTTGAACATGAACTGTCTGTCCTTCTGAAAAGGGATAAAGGGCACTTGCCACTCTGCTCAGAGTCTGAGTTGGAAAATTGAGTTTCTTGGCAGCTCTGCCTGAGGATTAGACCAAATTGTAGCTTTTGAGGTGAAAGGGAATGGTGGAATCATTGCTGTTAATTTTCTGTTTGGAATTTTGGGGTTTGGTTGTTAAGGACCAGACCACTTATTAAATCCTTAACACTAATTCACTTTCAAAGGGAAGCCTTACAGTTTTTGTAATTTGTCTTAATATCTGTGGCCAAACTTAAATATGTCTCCTACTACTGAAGACCTGGTTCCTGTTCCAGCCAAGTTATTCATAAAATACAAATTCTTTCCCACACAGGAAAGAAGGCTGGGACCGTCTGTCTGGTGCTGCTCTATTGCAAAGAATAGGTCTTTCTAAGCCACAACCACATTCAGCTAGAATGCAACTTGAGCTTGCCCATTCATGGGTGATGGCTACGTCACTTAGGTAGGGTTTCAGATCTGAGATTCTTTTCCAGTGTCCTCAAAGAAAAAATACTAGAAACACATTCTCTTAACAGTGTAGGGGGAGAATTTTGCAACAGTTTTTTATAATAGTTTTTTTTTTTGGTAGTTTTTCTCAGGGCATGTACGTATATTTTGCTTTCTGTCTTTGTTAACTGTTAACTTTAAACTACACCTTAGTTTGCTGGTTAGAGAAATAATAGGGAGAAGACTGGTCAGGGTAGAAGGCAGGCTCAGATGACACTAAAAAACCAAACCAGTTGCTGTTGAGTTGACTCTGACTCATGACATCCCCATGAATGTCAGAGTAGAACTGTGCTCCATAGGACTGTCAGAGGTAGATCACCAGGCCTTTCTTCCGAGGTGCTTCTGGGTGGACTGAACCTCCAACTTTTCAGTTAACAGCAGAGCATGTTAACTGCTTTACACCACTTGGGGATTCCCAGATGACATTACTCTTTGCTATAAATGTGTTGTTTGTCTCCCCACAAGACTAGTTAGAAATAGCCTTGGCAGGATGTGTGTGTATTTAAATAATAATGTCTTAAATAAGCATAATATGTATCTTAATTGCTGCTGAGAATTAAGCAGAGACATTGTTATGCTCATTTGTCTGTTTAATGCTATTCTGTGGAAGAGAATGCTTGAGAGAGATAGATCCTACTGAATTTAGCTCCACAAAAAGGAGAACACACCAGGATGATGATATCAGCAGTTCACTTTTACCAAGCCCTCATCATGATTACTATTATTATTAGCTCTTAGTATTACTGATCTCTTTGCTATGCTTTTGTGCTATCCCATCTGATCTCTACCACAACCCTGCAAGGCAGGCACTAATATCACCATTTTTCAGATAAAATAGTGAAACCTCCATGGGCTCACTCTCTGAGGCTTTGCTGCATCACCATAGGTTGATGGCTGGAACAGGAACAAGGTCTTCAGGAATAGACTGAAGTCCCATTAGACACAGACCATATGTCGGTTTATCAATGGCGGTTGTGTTTGGATGGTGTCTCCCCAAGGTGGAGGTGGTCATCTGTCAGGCTCAGTGAAGGCTATTTCCTGGGAAAGGGGACCTTATTCAGCCTGGGAGCCCTGAGGATGCACTGGAGTTCCAAGTGGGTGATAAGGCTCACTCCGATAGTTCCTAGCAAGTTGTCTGGAGGGACCCAGCAGTCCCAGAAGGGCAACCGTGGTGAAACGGAATTATTATTCTGTCTCACTATGACTGCTGTCAGCGTTTGTATTTTGAGGATGAAAACCCCCCTCCCCAATTCCTTGCAGCAAAAGGAAACAGACCCAAGGCTTTCTTTTTCTCAGTTAATTACTATAGTTTGGTTGCCTTAGACATGTGGGGTTGTTCTATATTTACAGGAGCTCTGGGCAAGGTTTACTGTCTGTGGTTTTTCTTCCCACGTGAACAGCCCATGTCAGTGCTATCCCTACATTACCTTCCTCCCCAGCCCCCAAACTGAAAAAGCACACTTACCTTTTAAAGAAGCTTCTGTTTTTACATCTGAGTTTTCAAGCGCTAAGGTGCTCTGGTGGCTAATGCCTAAGAGGTAGTCCCCACCCCCCCCACACACCTTGTGCCCTTTAATGTTATGTAAATTTTATCACAATCACCTTCACTTGCTCCAAGTGCAGCTATTAAATCATTGAAATGGTTTTGTGCCTTTTCTTGCACTAAAGTAAGGAGCTCTGGTGGTGCAGTGCCTGTGGCATTTGACTGCTAACTAGAAGGTTGGCAGTTCAAACCTGCCAGCCACTCTGCAGGAAGGAGATGGGACAGTCTACTTCTGTAAAGATTTACCACCTTGGAAACCCAGTGGGGGTCACTATGAGCCGGAATCCACTCGATGGCAGTGGGTTTGGTTTGGATTGCACTATAGTAAGGCTAAATAACCATGTGTACCTATTCTGCTTAAAGACACTTAAGGTTCGACTTAAAGACACACTTAAGAGTAGTTTTTGTTCATAGCCTGGGGACTGCCTGTGTATTTAATATGCTTACATTTCTTTTGGTAGTATCTTAGATGGTCTCTAAATTTGAGGTTCCTGGCTTGGGCACACTAAATTGACTTAACAAAGATGTTTCTAATGAGGCTTTGAGATGTCTGTAAGGTGGGGCTTCAGAGCTGATTGAAGTACATGTTGTAGTGCCCTAAAATATCCAGCCTTATCACCTGCCAAGGTCCCTCAAATCATCACTGTTCTGGATCTTGTAAGCCTCTCTCAATAGCAGCACCTGACATCTGGGTGGGGGCAATACATTAATATGCTATTGGCCAGTGACACCTTGTTGTCATTTTATCAGACTCATTGGCTATTATTTTTAAAGGAATGGAGTTCTAGGGGAGTAAAAAGAACAAGAAGTCATGCTTCATGTAGCTTGAAATCTATAACACAGCTGGCGTGACATCTTTTAATTTTTATTTTTTTCTCTAGCATGACATCTTGTTTATTGTAGGTGCTTAATAAAAGTCCATGGAATTAATTTTATCAGGTAAAAGGTAAAGAGCAGTCTAGGGCTTGGGGTGCCTCTGAGGTCTGTGCCGGTGGCTTCTTCTTGGGAAGTTTCTTCTAGGGCACCTCTGATGACAAACTTCAAAAATTTGCCACTATCTGAAGCAGAGAGGGAAGCCAGGGCCCAGAATCTTTCTTCTTTTTATTCTCAGTGATGACATTTCCTCTCCTGGGCATTCATTTCTCCATTTTACCAGGAACTTTAGAATAAAATAATTAAAACCATAGATACCAGACATGAGCACCTGGGCTATTAGTTGTCTTTTGACAAAGAAGAAACAGACACTCAAAGGTGAGTGGCATGTACAGTTTCACCCTGCTTTCTCATGGCCTCTGTGATGTGTCCTCCTTACAGTGGTGGCTTCTGTTAGATCCAGGTTGCTCTGGGGCTCTTCAGGCAGCTCCCTTTCATTAGCAAAAATGGCATGTGTAGAACATCATCTGAGAGTGGAACTGAACTGTGGGCAAATTTGGCTCAAGGACTGGGAATGTCCTCTTGGGGATTGGAAATTTTGGAGCCTATAGTCTAGCCCAGCATGTATGTTGCACCCCCATGGAAAAAGGGGGCTTACAGCAGTAAGCCAATGTGTGAACTTGTGTGTGGATTCTTGGGATAGGGGAGTGAACATAGGCTATGTTAACCTGTCTCTGTGTGTCTGTGTGTGTTTATATCTTGATGTTGTGACTAGTATTTTTTTTTTTCTCTTTTCCTCCCTTATTGTGAGAGTAGTCTGAGTTCATTAGCAGTAGGAGGCAACTTCTAATCATTTTAATAGTTTGTACCTGAATTTATCATTTTACATATATATATATATTCTCTGAATTTGAAGAAAATTCTTCAATCAAAAAGCATTTAGCATACTGGCGAGGCTCTAAGAAGGAAAAGTAAGCTGTGTTGATGTCCTGGTACTTTGGGTCATTCTTTGCAGCATATCCCTAAACTACCTGAGTTTCCTTGTGCTTTCCTGAAAACTCAATAGCTTTTGGTCTACTTGACCCTGAGGAAAACCAATTGTGGTTTTTTTTTTTTTTTCTTGTCTTTCAAAGGATGAGTATTATGTGGACATAAAACCTCTGGGGAGTGGAGGCAAGATAGGGATGAAGACCAAAGTCATGGGAAGGGCTTGTAGTGCAGGGGTGGGGTGGAGTTGGAGTTGGGTGTGGTGTGATACTGGCTTCTAAGGACAGGCTGCTTTTGGTAGATAGACACCCAAGGTATGGCCACTGGGATCTGAGCCAACAATCTCTGGGCCTGGCACCCTGTGTGCCAGGGATGGGTGATGCTCTCAGGTGTCCTTCAGAGCCAGAGATAATATCCCAAGGGTCTTGTGCTCCTTCCTTTTGGCTCGTCAGCCTGGTTACCTCATGTAACTCTTCTGGCCCTAAGTTTGACATCATCTTATCCCAGCAAGTTTACCAGTTTAGATTGATGACACTTTTGGCTACTGCATGGTGATAAGCAGTCATGCTCCTCTGTATGTCTGCAATGGACATGGTCACTTTCCTGTATCTGGGAAAAAAACTTCCCCCTGAGAAAATCCAGATTGCTTTAGAAGTTGGCTCAGCTGTTAAGCGGAAGGATTTCCCAAATTGAGTGCCACAGAGTACAAGTGTCCTGAGAAATATTATTAGGGGTGACACACACACACACACACACGCACACACACATGCACACACGTAAGTATCCCATGGTTAGGTAAACTTGGGAAATAGGGCTAAACTGACTTCTTTATTATAAGACCTCAGAGACATTAAAGTGGGAATACACAATGGGAATTCCCAAGAGGGAATATAGTAGGAAAACAATAACAAAGACTCCCTTGAGCAGGCAGGGAGGATTAAATCCTGGGATCCAACCTTGTGCTTTCATTTTGGGGAGTTCACAGGACAGAAGGGACGGTTTTCATGACAGATGATTTCTTATGTCTAAGATCCCAAACAAACCCCAATCAGGTAAGCTTTAGTTCAGCTGCTCAGTGGGCTCTCGTGTGTTGGCAGAGGAGGCTGGTCTGGTTATGATGACCCTGGTGTGCTCTGCTTGTTTTAGGAATCAAGGGCCTTTGATGTTTCTCAAACTTAAGTTGATCACAGAGGTCTTTTCAAAAGATGAGTGTTTGAAGTTTTGGCTCAGAGTTTTTGGTCTCAGTAGGTGCTCATCATTAAAACCCTGAAAAATAAGTGTGCATTTACGTCCTTTTAGGTGACCTGGCCTAGACTTCTGAAAGAAGAGAGGACTGTGGGGGTTGGTCAGCAAGGAAGGATCTTCTGAGCATGTTTGGAAAAGTAGAGAAGATGGGCCAGTAGGCAGGGAAGACAAGATGGCAGCTGGGGAGGCCATCTGGTCAGGAGGCGGGACAAGGGGAAGGAAACCAGGTGAGATACTTGAGAAGCTGTAGCAACATTCTTTTGGGATCAGAAACTTCTGCTTCTCTAGAACTAGAGAAATTCTAGTTCTTTTTAAACTGGGCCTATCTCTTGTAACTTAGTCAAGTTCATTTTGAGTTAAGAGGACCAAAGAAGATGTTTTTGCCTCCTCCTGAGCTGGAAGCAATTGAATTAAAGTGAGAGAATCCCATAAAGGAGTGGTGGCCAGGTCAGGCCTGCATTATTCAGCTATCCTTTCTCACCTGAAGAGCCTTTCTGGCATTCATCTCTGCTACAACCGTGGCTGGCATTATGTTTTGTTTTCATTAGGAAGGCTGTTCCTTCAGAACCTCAGTGGCCACATCCTGCTTCCTCTGCCTGCTCTGCCTTTGACTTCTTTGAGTCAGTGCCACTCAGGCAGCCGCTCCTTTGTGTGTCACAGGTGCATGGCTGATGGGTGGACTTCCTCCTTCATAGCAGGCATTAGAGAAATAGATTCCCAGAGCTTCATGGCTGGAAGGAACTGTCAGGATTATTTAAGCTGATGAAGATACTAATTGACTTGCTCAAGGGCACCCAAGTACCCACTAGCTGATCTGGGTCTCTTGATTCTCAACTCAGCCCTACTTCCTGGAACTTTCCCTTCCTATTATTGCTCTGGTCTTCAGGGGTGTGAAAATAGGGGGAGCCACAAAAATCACTTGAAGTATCTGTAATACACCGAACTTATGGGATATGAAATATTAATCTCTAGCCCTCTGGCTATTCTGAGAGTATAGGCTTAGGGTTCAGTGTGTTGGGAGAACCATGACAAAGACTGCCTTGAGCAGGCAGGAAGGATTAAGTCCTGGGATCCAACTTTGTGCTTGCATGTTGGGGAGTTTACAGGACAGAAGGGACATTTTTCATCAAAGATGATTCCTTATGTCTAAGATCCCAAACCAACCCAATCAGGCAAGCATTTGTTCAGCTGCTCAGTGGGCTCCCGTGTGTGCAGAGGAAGCAGGGCTGGTCGTGATGATCTAGCATGCTTTGCTTGTTTGAGGAACCATGGGAGTTTGGGGTGCCTGGTTGGAGACCCAGACACTGACACACATACACATGCACACTCCCCTGCCTCAAATCATTTATGAGCATAAATATAAATTCTGGAAATCTACCTGCTTTCTTTGCTATATATTTACAACAATTGCTTCTCTTGGAGAAGAACTGTTGATTGTCAAAAGACTACATACTGAAAACTGTTTCTAATGAGTACATTTTCTTTCCTGAAAGGTGCAGATTCTCTTTATAGGAATAGCTTCAGCTTCAGTGATGAGAAACTGAATTCTCCAACAGACTCCACCCCAGCTCTGCTCTCTCCTACCACCACTCCTCGGAAAGGTAAGTTCATTAGTTGGAGTGTGGGCTCTTCAGCTTTTTGACTCCCCTCCTCTCCTCTTTTCCCCCTTATCCCTAATCAATCTTTCCCAAATGTGCAAAACGCGTACGTAAGACTAATATTTTAGTCCAGGGAGTTCCCGGGTGGTGCAAATGATTAATGTTCTCAGCTGCTGACCAGAAAACTGACAACTCAAGTCCACTCAGGCTCCTCTGATGAAAGTCCTGGTGATCTACTTCTGAAAAATCAGCCATGAAAAACCCTCTGGAGCAGTCCTACCCTGGCACACATGGACTCGCCATTAAGTTGGAATAGACTCAACAGTAGCCAGAATGTCTTAGTATAGTACAATGTGAAGTAGAATCTATTATTTCTCAGGAGTTTGATCTGTAGGATAATTAAATTAGATAATTTGAGTCAGAAAACTCTATGAGAGGAAGAAAACTGGTAGACTCTACACTTGGTTCTATCCCATGGGGTAGAGTGTAGACCATGTGCCAGTCTCCTCCCAGGCTAGTTGGTTCTAGAATTTGAAACCCAACAGTTAGACTTTGTAGGAACTCTGGTGGCACAGTGCCTAAGGCATTTGACTGCTAACCAGAAGGTTGGCAATTCAAACCCACTAGCTGTTCTGCAGAAGGAAGGTGGGGCAATCTACTTCCATAAAGATTTACTGCCTCAGAAATTAAATGGGGTTGCTATGAGTCAGAACCGACTGGATGGCAGTGAATCTGGTCTGAGTCAGTTAGACTTTGTAGAAGGTAGGACTCCTTTTTGCATTAACAGTTTAATCCATGTTTTCATATTACCAATTTAGCAATTAAATGAAATCTTTCTTATTAGACAAGAGATGACTTAACATGATTCAAAATAGTCTGTCTCCACTGTGGTATTTATAGACCTAAAAAGTTTTTAAAGATGCATGAGCAGTTTCTTATTTTTTGAAACTAGTAGGGTGTCTCCAACTAGAGAGCTGAATGTTCTGTTTTATTAGACAAGTGCCCTTTGAAAACAAAAAGTTTTTTTCTGAAGAAAAGTTACACTTGCTGAAAATAGTTGCAGAATGCAATAAAAATGGAACATAGTTTGAAAAAAAAAATGAAGACTCCATTGCTTTTCTCGCTCTGGCATTAAGGCAGAATGTCACTCTTTTTTTCCAAAGAGACATTTTTAAATTCTCAGCACAGCAACGTTAGCAGCCACTTGGGACACTGCCATTATCCACTCCTCAGTCCGTAATGGATCTGATCTGTTGAATTCAGAGAGACATAGAAGTCTAGAAAGTGGCTTAAAGTGTGCCTAGATTTGCTATCTGATCCTCAAGAGGTAGAAATTAAAGAAGGAAACAAAAGCCCTAGTGGCAAATTGACTTTAAAAGCTAAGAACAATGAGCCACTTGTAGCCAGCAGGGGTAAGTTAGTAAAAATATCCAGTAACGCATTTCAGGGGCAGCACTAGTGGCACAGTGGTTAAGTGCTCGGCTGCTAGTGAAAAGGTGGGCAACTTGAACCCATTGTCTGCTCTGTGGGAGAAAGATGAGGCAATGTGCTTCCATAAAGATTTACAGCCTTAGAAAATCTGTGGGGCAGTTCTACTCAGGCCTATAAGGTTGTTATGAGTTGGAATTGACTCAGTGGCTGTGGGTGAATGAATGCATTTCAGAGAAGGCACAAATATTGAACTCTACAGAAAAAGTAAGATATACAGAAAAAGTATGTCTCAGTATATAAACTCATTGCGGTCGAGTCGGATCCGACTCATAGCGACCCCTCCTTGGGTTTCTGAGGCAGTATCACTATGGAAGTAGATTGCCTCCGAGGAGTGGCTGGTGGGTTTCAACCACCAACCTTCTGGTTAGCAGTCAAAATCAGAATAAGGACATGCTTCCCTGTGCTGGGATCTGGAGAGGTTAAGCCTGCTGGGTCCAGAAGCCCCATGTCACATCGGAAGAGGTGTACCATTTGACAAGGAGCAGTGCCTATTCACCCAGTTATACTAGAGGCAGTCTGAACTCTGTGTCATTGCCCTAGAGAGATTACATAAAACAAGAATGTGCCAGAAGTGTGACAGGAATTACAAAATCTGTTGGTTCTACACAGAATCCATGCTTACTGAATAACAAAAATCCTACACAATCAAAAAACCAATCTATCTCTTCTCTTCTCCCCACCTCCCAAACTTTTAAGGCAGTGAAGGGAGATTCTTCTTCCATTTGATGAGGCATGGGGTAGGACTGAACTAAAAACCAAGAAAGAAACACTTAGATCTGTCTTAGTTTCTGCGTATGCTGTAACTAAATATTGGAGCAGTGGTGGATCGGTGGTAGTATTCTCACCTTCCCTGCCGGAGACCTGGGTTTGGCTACCAGCCAACGCACCTCATGCACAGCCATCACTCATCTGTCAGTGGAGGCTGGTGTGTTGCAATGACCCTGAACAGGTTTCAGAGGAGCTTCCAGACTAAGAAGGGTCTGATGATCTGTCCCAAAAATTGTTGTTTTTGTGCCGTCGAGTCAGACCGACTCATAGCAACCTCTCCTTGGGTTTCCGAGGCAGTATCACTACGGAAGTAGATTGCCCAACCTTCCTTCTGAGGAATGGCTGATGGGTTTGAACCACCAGCCTTTTGGTTAGCAGTCAAGCACCTTAGGCACTACAACAGTCTGATCTGCAGCTGATCATGGGGATGGCCCAGGACTAGGCAGTGTTTCGTTCTGTTGTGCATGGGGTTGTCATGAGTTGGGTGCTGACTTACAGCTAACAACAGTAACACTCTAAAGCAGACACTTAGGTTGTTACAGGATACCCTTCAGAGAGTGTCTGAAGATGATATGCAAAATGGTGTCACACAATCCAGTGTGACTTCAGTAGCATGACACTGCAGCCCTGGGAGTCATTAGCTGTCTTTGATATGGAAAACTGAACTCCTTCTCTTGTTTTACAGCCAAATTAGGAGACACAAAAGAATTAGAAGACTTTATTGCTGATCTTGACAGAACATTAGCAAGTGAGTACATGCTATAATGTTTGCAAGTTTGCCTGGGGCAGGAAGTTACATCTTAAGACTTCTTTGGGTTGAGAAATATGACCCCCATGGCTCAAAGAAATTCTGAAGATAAATTTTCATTAAAGTAGTCCGTGTACCTTTCCAAACAGTGAGAACAGGCTGCCAGCAAACAATGGTGTTTTGTTTGAGAAATGGAGAGAAAAGTCGTAAGAGCAAGATTGGAGCTTTACCTGAGGATGGCCTGCCAGGCTTTTCAGAGAAAAAAGTAACTGATTGACCATGCAGCCATTATGCTAACACACCTAAGGATTCCATCCCATGAGCTAGGATAATTTTCCCAGGTTATAAGCAGGGGTTTGATGAGACCTGTGTTCTAGAAGGATGGGTCCCAAAATAAGGAGTTGGCATGAGGAGACTCTCTAACCAAAGACCTACACGAATTGCTAAATGACCTGGATTAAGCACTCAATACCTTGCTTCCTATTTAGGAATTATAGCAATGGTACTCCATGTTATGTGACCAAGAACATTATCTTGGAAACTGAAGACATCAGATTGTAATGACGGAGTGTTCTAGCTTAGAAGAAGGAACCTTGAGAATCCTTCTATAGACCCTATTTCTGTAGGACAAAGACAAGATTACAAGAGCCAAAGCACTGACTTTGAACTTCCAAGATGGAAGTTTCCATAGCCATACTCATTGTAGGGAAGGGAGGCAGGGAGAGCTTTGTTCATTCACAGAGTGGACCTGGAGAATTTTGTCCCAGCCCTTAATTTTTCAGTGAAAGTGCTGTTTTTCTCTAGAAAGTATTTTATGCTATACTCTGCTAAGTAGCTGGGTGAAATCTGAAAAAAAAAGTTAGATCCATTGCGGATCATTTAAAAATAACTATGTGAAATAAATAAATAAATAATAACAACTCTGTTCCTATTTCAGACACACTCAAATATTAGATAGAAAGCCCATCACTATTTACTTGAAGATTTTATTGCCTGTTTGCTTACATGCCATACCATCTTACATGAGAAGACTAAGGCTTGTTTTGACAGAGATTGTTGTAATTGTAGCACAATTTGTGCTAGGCCCCTGTTAACGAGCTTGGCTACTTCATAGAAATTGCAGATGGCTGCCTTGTCATGTCAGTTAATCAGACATACATTATGTGGGAAGCCTGCCATTAAATGCGGTGCTTTGATACACGTCTGAGATGGTCTGATCTGGTTAAGCATAGGATTTGCAATCTTTTGTGAATGGATACTCTTACTTCTCTCTCATTTACAGGTATGTGAAACCAGGAAAAGTTCTGGGTCTGTTTTCTCATAAGGAAGAAGCTTCAGAAAGCTCTGAGGACCTAGTAAAGCTACTAGAATCTGCCACCGGAAAGGATAGAGATGAAGCTCACCTCCCACTAGCCCTCTCAGACCCATCCACCTTTGGGCTCATCTCTGGGCAATTTAGACGGTGAAATTGGTTTTGTTCACCTGCTTGCAGTGTGTTAGAAGAGACGATCCATACCAATATTGTATTTTCTCTTAAAACATAGCTTCCCTGTAATTTAAAATGCTTTTATGAAAATATTTGTAATTAATTATATATAGTCGGAAACAGTAATAAACTTTTCTCATTATAATATATTTTTGTATACAAATAAAATCTGAACTGGAGTCTATGTTTTTGTAAGCTTCTATTTTTTTTTTTAATAGACATATTTACATTCAAAAAATATTTTAAGGGAAGTAATATAGCTTTTGGTTCCTAGCAAGGCCTCAGGGTGCTGGCTAATTGCACTAGATGGCAAGGGAGCATTGGTGGTTCAATGGGAGAATTCTTGCTTTGCACACAAGAGACTTAGGCTTGATTCCCAGTCAGTGCACCTCATGCCCAGCCACCTGCCCATCTGTCAGGGAAGGCTTGTGTTTTGCTATGATGCTGAACAGGTTTCAGTGGAGCTTCCAGACTAAGATGGACTAGGAAGAAAAGCCTAGTAATCTAATTTCAAAAATCAGCCAATGAAAACCTTATGGATCAAAGGTCCAGTCCATAACTGATTGTAAGGATGGTGCAGGACCCTGTGGTGCATTGGGTCACTATGACTCTGGGCCAGTTTGATGATAGATAGCAACAAATTTGAGAAAGCAATTCTTTGAAGCTCATTTGGAACCCCAGGAAAATACTGGTGTATAACTAATGGGACATAGGAATTTGAGAATTACAGTGTTGATGGAAGTTTCTTTTCTGTCTCCATCCTCCTACTCATATCTTGGAACTCTGATGGTGCAGTGCATAAGGCATTTGACTGCTAACCAGAAGGTTGGTGGTTCAAACCTACCATCTACTCCATGGAAAGAAGATGGGGCAATCCACTTCTGTAAAGATTTGCTGCTGGCTTGGAAACCCAACGGGTCATTATGACTTGGAATGGACTCAATAGCAGTGATTTTTTTTTTTTTTTAACTCATATATCTTGGTGGTACCTTTTCAAGTGCCATGATGCTTCCCTTGAATTAAGGGAAATACCAGTTGTACTCAAAATTGGGGACTTAAAATATGAGGGAAAGTTGAGGCAGCTGGAGGACTTCAGAATGATGGTGCTTTTATAAGATCTGTGAACAAAGGAAATTTTGACAGTGCTGACTTGACATTAATGCATCAGTGGGGCCAGAGGGGGCGTAGAGAGGCCTTTGATGAGTGGGCTTTGCCCAGAGAAACAAATATGATACACCCCACCTGCCTTTTGCAGCGAATAAGGGTGCATGAAGAAATCCCTGGGTAGTGCAAACGGTTAAATACTCAACTACTAGGCAAAGACAAAGACTGTTGTTTCAAATCCATCCAGAAGATTTGAAAGAATCTGCTTCTGAAAGGTCACAATCTTGAAAATCCTGTGAAGAAGTTGTATTCTGCACATGTGGGGTCTCCATGAAGCAGAATGACTTGACAACAACTGACACCAACAGGAAGGCAGGAAAGTTGGCCATTTGCCAATCAGTTGTGATCATTTTATGTACATTGTCAAAAACCAACTACTATATTTTATCTGTTTTTTAGGGTTTGGGGGAACTAAATTAGCTTTTCTTTAATCTTCTAAGTTTCCAGTTGAACCCAAATATACATATTTTAAAATTAAGGAGTAATTCATATACCATACAATTCACCCATTTAAAGGGTACAACTCAGGGATTTTAGTATATTCACAAAATTGTGCAACCATCACCACTTCTAATTCCAGAACATTTCCAACACCCCAAAAAGAAACCCTGTAACTGCTTGCAGTCACTTGCCATTCATCCCCTCAGTCTCTGGCAACTACTAATCTGCTCGTGTCTATGGATTTGCCTATTTTGGGCATTTCATATAAATAGGAGCATACAAAGTGAGGTCTTTTGTGACTGACTTCCTATATTTACCATAATGTTTTCTAGGTTCTTTGTATTATTGTAGCATGAATCAGTACTTCATTCTTTTTATGGCCTGGTAATAATCCATTGTAGCATATACCACATTTTGTTTATCATTCTTCAGTTGATGGACTTCTAGGTTGTTCCCTTTGTTTTGCTATTATGATTCATGCTGCTATGAACGTTCATGTACAAGTTTTTGTGTGGATATATGCTTTCAATTCTCTTGGGAATTAGGAGAGGCATTGCTGGGTTACATGTTTAAATTTTTCAATGATCATTTTATTTACATCATTCTATGTTTAAATTTTTGAGGAACTGCCAAACTGTTTCCAAAGTGGCTGCCCCATTTTAAATTCCCACCTGCAATGTTTCAGTGTTCCAACAGTCCACATCCTCACCAACACCTGCTATCGTCTATCTTTTTGATCTCAGCTATTCTTGTGGGTTTGGAGAGCTATCTTTTTGTGGTTTTGACTTGCATTTCCCTAATGACTAATGCTGTAGAACATCTTCACATGTGCTTATTGGCCATTTGTATATTTTCTTTGGAGAGATGTCTATTCAAATCTTTTACACATTTTTAATTGGGTTATTTATGTTTTTATTTTTGAGTTGTAATAGTCCTTTGCATATTCTGGATACTAGACCCTTATCAGTTATATGATTTGCAAATATTTCCTCTCTTTCATGGGTTGTCTTTTCACTTTTTGATAGTATCTTTGGAGCAAAAAAGTTTTAAATTTTGATAAAATTCAATTCATCTGCTTTTTATTTTGTTGCTTGTGCTTTGGGTATTATATCTAAGAAAGCATTATCTAATCCAAGGCACCTGGATTTACAGGACCAACTAAGACTTTGACCTATGTTTTCTTTGAAGAGTTTTATAATTGTAGCTCTTACATTTATGTCTTTGATCTATTTTGAGTTTCTTGTACACGGTATGAGGTAGGGGCCCAACTTCATTTTTTTCATGAATGCATATCCAGTTGTCCCAGTACCAGTTGTTGAAAAGATTTTTTTTCCCCCATTGAATTGTGTTGGCACCCTTGTCAAAAATCAATTGCCAATAAGGGCAGGGGTTTATTTTATTTATTTATCTTTATTGTGATTTGGGTGAAAATTTACAGAGCAAATTCACTTTCCATAAAGGAGTTCACATACACTTTGATGACATTGACCACAATTTACCACAATGCGACAGCTTCCCTCCCACTTCCTCCCAGTAGTTGCCTCTTCCCTGTGTCCATCCCTCCATGCACTCCTGCTCCCTGAGCCTTTCTTTCTCTAGGGGTTTATTTTTGGACTCTCAATTTCATCCTACTGATCAATATGTCAACTTTTTGTCACTACTACAGTCTTGATTACTATAGCTTTGTAGTCAGTTTTGAAAGTAGGGATTGTGAGTCTTTCTGTTGTTGTTAGGTGCCGTTGAGTCATCTCCAACTCATAGTGACCCTATGGACAGCAGAATGAAACACTGTCAGGTTCTGCGCCAGCTGCACGATCGTTGCTATGCTTGAGCCCATCATCATACCCACTGTGTCAATCCATCTTGTTGAGGGCCTTCCCCTCTTTCCTCAACCCTCCACCTTACCAAGCATGACATCCTTCTCCAGGGAACGGTCCCTTCTGACAATATGACCAAAGTAGGTGAGATGAAGTTTGGCCATTCTCGCTTCAAAGGAGCATTCTGGCTGTACTTCCTCAAGGACAAATTTGTTAGATCTTTCAGCAGTCCATGGTGTTTTCAGCATTTTTCGCCAGCACCACAACTCAAAAGCATCAACTCTTCTTTGGTTTTCCTTATGTATAGTCTGACTTACATGCATATGAGGCAATTGAAAACACCATGGCTTGTGTCAGACGCACCTTAGTCCTCAAGGAGACATCTTTGCTCTTCAGCACTTGAAAGAGGTCCTTTGCAGCTGATTTGCCCAGTGCTATATGTTGTCTGAAAGGAGCTCTGGTAGTTAGCTTCTGCTAACCAGAAGGCTGGTGGTTCAAACCCACCAGCCACTCCTTGGAAGGAAGGTTGGGCAATCTAC